GGGGTCAGCGTGGGAAAGCGAAGGTTCAGAGTTCAGAGGGGCTGTTCCGGTCTAGTCTTGGAGGTGCTGGTCATTGATCTTAAAGAAGGCAAGACAATGGGTGGGTCATCCACGTGGACAGGAAGTCATCCCAGTGATGGTGGGACTTAGGAGGAAGAAAAGCTGGGACCAAAAGTCTCCAGTGAACTTGGGGGGAGGGTGCATGGGAGAGAAGATGACGTTGATGGGAGGCTCAAAGTGAGGAGCCGCGAGATGGTGAGCACCTCAGAGGCGGTGGGGTTTCTTCCCGGTGGGGTGGGCGAGGATCTGGAAATGACAGTGACGCTGGAATGAGGAGGAGCTGGGCCATCCTCTGACTGGATGAGGCTCTGGGGAGGCCATCAGACCAGCCAGCACCAGGCCGTGGCCAGATGGCGCCTACAGCCTGGTGCGGTGGGGATGGCACAGGGTTGGAGGACAGACGAGACTGGCTCTGTGACATGGAAACCTGGGAACCTGGCAGGCAACTTCCTTGCCCACAAAGGAGCGCTTTGCCTCATTCTCACATGACCTACGAATAGTGCTGCTCAGCTGACGGTGTGGTCCTGGCTTCTCCAGGCAGAACCCTGGATTGGGCCAGGGGTGTAGGGTAGGTGCAGAGAAGGGAGGCCACTTCAAGGCAGACCCATGACTTGGATTCTATCGGTGCACAGAGAAGGTCCCCCCAGAAGGAATTTCCTGGGGGATGGGGATCCAGGAATCCACTGGGGGAGGGGGTCGGGGGGGGATTGACTGGGCCGCCCTCTCCCTCCATGAGCTGCTCTGTGTTTCAGTGCTTCATCAAGATCAGCGCTGCCTATGGCTCCACGAAGGACATCTCCGTCTACAGCGTGCTGGGCCTGCCGCCCTCCCAGATCTTCATTGTGGGCCGGCCCACCAAGAAGTACCAAACCCAGTGCCAGGTGGGTGGAGGCGGAGCTGGGGCTGGGGTGTTCCCATCGGCCCCTCTGGGCAAACTATAAACTCTCAAGAGAGTGATGTGCAATCTGGAAGAGGGAGCGAGTTCATCTGCTCATTCCTTCATCTGCTCATTCCTTCATTCATGCATTCATTCAGCAAATACTGCTGGACACCTGCCTTGAAACGCCCTGTGTTGTGGGGAGAGTCCGGGTGGAATCGGTGTCATGTCATCCAGCCTCGTAGGCAGATGGAAGCATGTGCAGACAAGGACAGTGCAGTGTGCAGGAGCCATAGTGAATGAGGGGGAGCACAGAATGGGGGGGCCCCAGACAAGGACAGGTCCCCTGCACTCGGAGCAAGGCCGGCTTTCAGAAGTGTGAGGCCTTGTCCTAGAAGGGCCTGCAGTTGGAGGAGCACTAGTGACAGAGGCAGCGGCAAAAGCAAAGTCGGAGGGGACAGAGGTGTGTATTCTGGGAACTCCAGTGCCAGCTTGGCCGAGGGTGACGTGGGGGCAGCGGGAGAGGGGCGGGGGTGGCAGTGCGCGTGTGGGCCGTGTGCCTTGCCCGGTCGGTTGGGGCTCTGAGTCTGTGGACTGTTTGCAATTCAGAGGCTGCAGGTGGGTGGGAGGAGGTGGCAGGGCAGTGGAAGGGGAGAGAGGTGGGAGGGCCTGAGAGGCACGTTTAGGAAGATGGACTGGATCCGGTAATGGCAGTTCAGATGTGTGGGACCAGGAAGGGAAAAGCAAGGAGGGCATCCTGTTTCCGGCTTGGGGAGAAGCCGGTTGAGGAGCAGATGGAGGGGAAGGCAGTGAGCTTTCGGGGCCATGCTGAGTGTGACGGTGGAGGGACCCCTGAGTGGGCATCCCTAGAACAGTGCTGATCTCAAACTCTAAATGCCTCCTGGGTCACATGGGGATATTGTTTAAATGCGGGTTCGGATCTGTAGTCTGGGGTGGGGCCTGAGACTGCTGCTGGCACACAGACCACACTGAGCAGCAGGCTGAGCACACAGTGGAAAGGAATGGCAAGGGGGCCGTTGTCCGGGCCAGAACATGACTAAGTTCCCCCGGGTAGAAGGCGGATGGTGGGAGAGACTTACAGTTCGGGATTTTAGTGAACGTGACAAGGATCTAGATCCGGAAGGCCCACAGGTACAGACAGACGTGAGGGCTCAGGCGTCCAAAGCGGGGCGGGAGCCTTGAATGGTAAGAGTGTCCAGTTTCCTGCAGGTTCCACGGAAGAGCTGGAGACCCCATGATGGGATGTCCCAAATAAAGGGTGACGCTGGGAGGTGGGGGCAGGACCAGGCGCCGGCCTGCCCCGCTGGCCTGACTCCTGTCCCCTCCGCAGTTCCTGAGCGAGGGCTACGCCGCCCACCTGGCCGCCCTGGAGACCAGCCACCGCGCGCGCCCCAAGAAGAACAACTCGCGGATGGTCCTGCGCAAGGGCAGCTTCGGCCTCCACGCGCAGCCCGACTTCCTCCGCAAGCGCAACCACCTGCGCAGGACCATGTCGGTGCAGCAGCCCGACCCGCCCGCCAACCCCCACCCTGAGCGCGCCCAGAGCCAGCCCGAGTCCGACAAGGACCACGAGCGGCCCCTGTCCGCGCTCAGCTGGGCGCGCGGGACCCCCAAGTTCGAGTCGGTGCCCTGAGGGTGGGCTGTGCGCGGAGCAGGGGGCCCCTACCCAGCTGCCTGCGGGGACGGGAGTGGCCGCCTCCTCCCGGACACAGGCCCTTTCTTGCTTTTTCCCTCCCGTGTCTGTCCAGTAGTGTCTGACCACAGGGGGGAGGGGCCCTACCCAGCCTTGGGGGGCTCCCTCGGCTGCCAGGGGGTGAGAGCCCCGGTCTCAGTGCAGCCACTGCTGCCTCCCCGGTGCCTGCGGCTTCAAGCCCTAATTGGGGTTGATGTCTGTGAGGTGGGTGCAGGCCTGTCCGGAGCTGGAGTGTTGGGCAAAGGCGACCATCTTTCCGGGTCCTCCGGGCTTCCAAGGTCATGCGAGGCAGGCCCGGAAGGGAGAAGCCCCCAGACCGGGGATCCTGGGCCGCTGGCAGAGGAGAGGCGAGTGGCATTGGTGCCTGATATACCGAGTCACCACCTTGGGCCTGGCTCTCCTATGGCAAAGCGACCACTTTCTGGGAGAGAGAGGGTGCCCCCTGGGCCAAGCTATGTTCAGGTGTCTGTCCCCAGCCCTGGGGGGAGGGGTCTGGTGCTGACGGGCTGTCCTGCAGCTGTTCAAGTCCCGCCTTCTGTCCTCAGTACCTTCACCACTCTCCTGTGGCCCGGAGGGCAGTTGTTCCTCTTTCTGGAGTCCTGCCTGGTGCCGTCCCCTGTGAGGCTGCGCGGCCTTGGGCTCTGGCCTAGCTGGGCTGGCTGTGAGCCCTTGAGCCAGCTGCTTGCCCTCTCTGGGCTCTGCCTTCCTATGTAATTGCGGGATCTCCCCAGCTGAGATCGGATGGGGGCACGTTTTGACTCCTAGGCTATCCTGCACTTCTGCCCCATGAGGCTTTCCAGGACCCGAGCTCCTCAGAGGGCTCAGGGATCCATCCTGTCCCCACAGTCAGAGAGCAGGACTCAGAGTGGGCGGGAGGGAGCAGCTATTTTCCCACCACTTCGGAGACGCCCCTGGGGCTGGGGGAGAGGTCCCAGCTCCTTGGAGAGGTGGTTTTGTACTGATGCCCACACCCACTGTCCCAGGAGCAGAGACACCGCCCCAGAGCGCATGGATCTGGCTCCTCCTCTCCAGTCTGATTCCTCCCTTTTGGCTCCTGGAAGGTGTAGAGCTGAGATCCCAGAGTTCTGGGGTAGTTCTGGCTCAAACTGTTGTATTCCCCTTCCTCCCCTTTGCCACTCAGCTTGGTTTGGTGCCCATAACTTCCTCCTGGATCATCCCCTGAGGTTGGTGGGACTTAGCTCTCCTGGGGCCCCTCGAAGCTTGTCCAGGCCCTCGTGCTGCTGGGCCCCTGGCCTGGGCACTGGTCTCCTGCAGCGCGGGCCCGGCTCTGAGCCCCTCGTGCTGTCACTGAGGCGGCCCAGTTCTCTGTGTCACGGGCCAGGCCGCCCCAGTGCCCGGACAGCTGCATACACAGCAGGCACCTGTGTCAGCTCAGTGTCGCTTCTGCTCAATGTCTACCTCTTGCAGTTCCCATGTGGCCAGTGTCTTCCCCGATGGCCAGCCGCTGCTGGTGGGGGCGGCTGGCACCACTGGCAGGCAAACAGGGCGCCCGACTGGGCTGAAGGGATCAGGGATCCCAGCCCCTAACCCTGCTCTCTCGACTAGAAATGTGTCTTCTCCAGTCTGCCCGCTCCTGCCACCCCAGCCTGCCTGTCTGCCAGTTCTCTGCGTCCCTTCAGCCCTGCACCTGCATTTCCGCAGCGCCGAGCAACTCCGCTGGGAAGGGGCGGTCACCCTAGGCTTCCTCTCTGGTCCTGCCTCCCGGCAGTTCACATTCCTCCTTCACAGGACATCTTTCTCGGTGTCCATGAGGCACCAGCTCATGTGGCTTAGCCACCTCAACCCTAATCCTTCCCTTCCTTCCCAAATAGCCCTGAACTCAACTTGGGCAGACTTATTCTGATTCTCTGAAACCCCATCTCCTCTTTGCAGAAGGCACTGATGTATTACTCTCAAATGATAAAATAATTAGCGTGAGATCCTCCGCCCCCCGCCCCCCACCCCGGCTTGGAGCAGGAGGGAGTAGGCATGCCGGACACTGGGGAATTTGAGTCCATGCTGATTTTGGGGGTGGGAGCTGGGATGTGGGACCTAGGGGGAGGGCCCCCCTTCCTTTCTGGAGCTCTGATTGGGGCTCCGAAGCCTCACGCCTGGGATGTGAGGTGTACAGTGAGTGCTGCGAGCGGGCGCTCTTGCAGTGTTAGTGGATGTGACTGTGTGGTTCTGTCTAGTGACCAGACTCAATATTGTCGGTTTCAGTTCTGCTCTTCACAGCAACTGTAACCAATAAGCACTTTCTCTTCTGGTGGTTTGTTGCACTTTGTTTGTCCAGTTTTGTTGGAGAAAAACAAAGAGCCGAGTCTCGTGCTGTTCTCCGGAGGGGCCGCTGCCCCTCCCCAAGTAGCCCCGTGGCCCCAGTTGGCTGTTTCCTGGCGAATCCCTCCAGCTCCTGTGAGCTGGCTCCACCGGGGCTGGAGAGCAGACTTCCCTGCCTGACCAAAGCGCCCCGTTTCTCCGTGGCATGTTTGTTCCTCCCAGTTGGGGGGCTGTCCTGCTGGAGGGCCCGCCTGCCGCCTGCCTGTCCCTTCGCCCTGTTGGGGGTTCAGGGTGCATCCACAGCCAGGGCCTGCTCAAGTGGCATCATGGTTTTTTTTTTAAAGAGTTCAACTCCTCCCTTAGGCTTCACAAAATATGAAAAAAAGGGAGACTTTTCATGCATTTGGATGAGCGGCCCTCCTGCCCGGACCCTGGGCCAGAGAAAACAAACACGTTTGCACTCCAGTATTCAGACATCACTAGGGGGTGGGCTCTCTGGGTCTCCTTTTAGCACTCTGGACCCAGACCCATGCCCAGAAGTGTCCTGCAGGCAAAGCGTGGCCCCATTTCTCAGTGAAAGCTGGGCCCGAGGCAGCGTGCAGCTGTGGCGTGGCTCTGTGTGGACACCCCCACCCAGCCCAGGTGCAGCCGGCCCGGGAGGGGTGCCCGGGCTGCGAAGGAACCTCGAAACTGACCCCGCCTTAAACAACCAACTTTCCAGCCGAACCCCAGGGGTGTGGGTGCCCAGTGTGCCGGGGACCTAATCTGCCACAAGAAGTCACCTCCCTCCTTCTGCTGCCTCTGGGTTTGGGGGAGCTTTCTTAAAAAATCATACTTAGGGTCAAGTCCAAGCATCGAGGCCTGGTCTGGGTCCTGCTCTCTTTGCTGAGAAACCGAGAGGGTGGTTGGGGTAAATACCAGTTGGGCCTCACTCTCGTGGGGACAAGGAGTGGCAGGTGACACCAAAGAGGGGCAGGACAGGAGGGTGGCTCGCTCATAGGGACCCCCACCCTCGGACCCCACCGTCCTTTCTATTTGTTTACTTGGTGGTGGCAGCCTGTCTGGTCTTGTTTGCCGTCTGACTGTTCCTGTGTGTACCTCTCAGTATTGTCCTTGGTGGGTGGATCTGTGGGGGAAAAGGTTTGTACCCCTCATGGCTGCCTTGTACAAAATCCGTTAGAAAAGAACATGTAAACTATCAGATTTCTAACAAGACAAACACAGCATTATGGAGTTAAAAGATTTTTACAACGGGTCTTGATTTTGATGTGAGCTGGTTTTTAACTCTCAAACGTTGTCACTTAAATAAAAACCTTATTTGCCTTTAAAATGTGCTTTGCTCTGAATGAAGCTGAGAAACCTGTGGCTGTTACTCCTGCTCTCCCTGAGCAGGGGGCTGGCTACATGAGGTGGAGGGAAGTGGAGAGGACAAGGGGAACAAAACCTGGCCGCAGGACAGACCAGAGTGGGAAGGGGGTATGTGGGGGGAGGGGGGGGAGGGGGTTGTTACAGAGAAGAGATGTCAAATACAGAAAGTCTTTTTTTTTTAATGATGAAAGAAAATATTTCATTATTTCCCATAGATGTACTGCTGGTACATCGAGAAAACCATTATTTTTGGTATATTTTGTACATGGTTATATTGCTGAACTCTCCTATTCATTCTTTCAAAAAATTATCTTTATTGTTGAAAGTATTACAGATGTCCCCCCTTTTCCCCCATTGACCCCCTTCTCCACACCCCCTCCCCCACCCCCAGGCCCTCACCACACTATTGACTGTGTCCATGGGCTATGCACATGTGCATATAAGTTCCGTGGTTAATCCCTCCCACCCCAGCCTTCCCTCTGAGTCTCCCTCAATCTGTCAGAGTCTTATTATGGAAAAGCAACATTATGGAGGGAAGTTATGCCCTGATTTCTTTCTAATAAAATGACAAAGCAGATTTCTTAAAGAATTTACAAAGGGCAGAGATTGCTGGGCTGTGCTACTCCTCGCTGCCACCCACAGTGCCCGGTGCTGAGAACATAAATAGGTACCCATAGGCCCCCGGTCTCAGAGCCTGGATATCTCTCCCATCCCTTCTTTTGGGGCAGGCATGGGAGCTGTACACCCAGGAGCCGGGTCTGCGGTGAGTCACCTCCTGGGCTGTGGCAGGCGGTCTCTGCTGGGCTCAGATGTGGTCCGAGCAGGAGAGCAGGGGCCCCAGACCAGCCCCCACCTGGGCCTCTGCTTGTCAGGTCTTGTCAGCAGGGGCCCAGGGCACTGCCAGCTCCTGGGGGCTTCCTCCATGAACTCAAGGGTGCAGAGGTATGGATCCCACGTGTGGGGGTGTGGGGGTCAGGTATGTCTCACTTCCTGCGAGGAGCTCTCTTCTTGCCCCTCATTGTGCTTCAGGGGGGAGGGGGGAGTGAGGACACCAGAGCCTTCCCCCAGAATGAGGAGCCGGAAGGTGGTGGGTCAGTGAGGTCAGCAGCTCAGGTCTGAGCCGGTAGGAAGATGGCATGCTGCCCATTCTGCTGGGTGTCAGTTCTGTGGGTTTCTCCAGGAGTCTCAGTTCTTTAACACGCCTCCAAACCTGCACACGCACTCAGGTAGGAGGAGGAAGAGGAGGAGAGGAGGAAGAGGACGCTGGGAAAGATGCTTGGAGGAGGGCATTCCCTGGAGAGCACTCCATCAGTCTCGAAGGAGAGAAACGGCCATGTCAGCGCTAGAGATGGGGAAGCAGGAGAGACAGGCCATTGGGTGCGGCAGGCTCCGAGGGCCCTCCCAGCCTGGACTAGGCAAGACCAGACCCAGCAACATGGTGGGAACTTGGTACACTCGGCATATAGTCAAAGCTCGCAGGGCCACCTAGGAGCCCGTCACGGCCATGTAGGCACAAATGGCCCAAGTTAGGGCAGCTCCAGACCTGGGCTCTGCCCTCAGAATGGGGTCCTGAGCAGACAGATCAGGAACTCCAAGCAGCCACACAGCGTTTCCCAATTCCATGGGTGGGCAGGGCGTAAGGGAGCCGTGGGGAGTGTTGGAGGCAGGACAGGTCTTCAGGAGCCTGGGGAAGTTCCAGGTGGTGGACACATGTGGCGGCCTGAGGCCCAGAAAGCCACGAATCTCCAGGGTGCATCCTCAACTACCACCGCAATCTAGGTCTTTTATGTCCCCTCATGTTGCAGACGAAGAGACTGAGGCTGAGAAGGGGAGGGACTGGCCAGGGTCATACAGTGGCCAGAGCCAGAACTAGAGGCCTGCCTGAAAAGGGGGACCCTGCCAGCCACTTTGCTTGGGAGGATGACTGCCAGCTTACCTCTCTTCAGCCGCAATGGCCTCGTCCAGCTCCTGGGACAGCTTCTGGAGGCGCTGGATTCCTGCCCCCACAGGCTCCAGGTCACTGTCGGATTCACTGAACAGAAGGAAAGGCCACAGGCACCAGGGACTAGTTGGAAACCTGTGGCAGGTGCCTCCTTCCTGCCCCCACAACCAGCACTGCAGCCTGGGGTCATCACCTAGACCCTCACTCCAGGAAGTGACATCAGAGCACCTTAGAGCAGCTGGCAGAGAACAGATGGATCAAGGCTCATGGGGTCAAGGCCAAGGGCAGGAGATCTTGCAGAAAGGTGAGCCCTGCTGTTTCCCACTTGAGTCTCCATCTCCAGGTGGTTTTAAAACTGGCTTGTAGGCTCACTAGGAGGCTTGGGAGTGTGATACAGGCAGAGCTAAGCTCTCCCCTTCCTTTTATAGATGGGGAACTAAGGCCTTGAAGATGTCCCCAGCTCCCTGGCTAGTGGGGTGCAGAGCTGGCCAGAACACGGATGTGACTCAGCTCAGGGTGCCCCTGGTTCTAGGGAGCCCCCGGAGGGGCCCTTAGTGTTTTGGGGGGCCAGGCACTCTTCCACTTACCTGGGGGAGCAGAGGGGCTCTGTAGAGGAGTAGGGGCTCCGGAAGGCGGCCTCCCTCCTGGACCTCCGCAGAGGGTGGGCACGTGGGCCCACCTGGGTGGAGCGGCGGTGACGCTCCCACCCCCAGGGGCCCAGAGTTGAGCGGGCAGGGCCGGTTCCAGAAAGCCGGGTGCTCCTCTGGCTCAGGCTGCGAGCTGGGGGGCTACCGTTCTTCTGTGTCTCTCTCTTCCTCCTCCTGGCTTTCACCTGGGTTTCCACCAGCCACTTGGTGCCACTTTGGCAGGACTCCTGGATTCTCTGATGGGTACATGGAAGTGTGAGCACAGACAAGCTAAGGGCCACCCTCGTCTCCAAGCCATACCTCCGAGCCCTCCACCTACCAGCGGTCCTACGCACACAAGCAGCTTGGTCTCAAGCGTGAGGGATGTGGGTGATGCCACTGCAGGGACCCAGCTCAGAGCCCCAGGTATGAGTGTTCTGCAGCAGACCCGCTCTGGCTCACAGAGCCTCCAGGCGCCTAAGACCAAGCCCCTTTCAAACACAGACTGACCCGGAGACTCAAGAGCAAAGCCTGACCCTCAGGACACTGTGAGATCATTTGTCCCCCTGCTTCTGGTCATACTCTGTTCCACCCTCCACACTGATGCACAGAGATCCCTCTAAGGGCAGTTCTGGTCATGACACTGCACTGCTCAGTGCCCTCCCACAGCTGCTCATCACCCACAGGGCCAAGCCCTAACTCTCGGGCCTTTCACTCCGCTGGGGGACGGCTGTGAAGGCTCTTCCTCAGCGAGAGGAAACTGGAGTCCAGAGTCCTTAGAGCAAGACCTGTGTTAGGTTAGGTGAGCTTTGTGCCCTTGGGCAGGCTGCCTGGTTTCATCCCCGATCCCTGGGCATAAAACAATCATGGGGTTCTTCTAGACAAGGACTAACATTTGGCTCAGACACCTCTCTACAAAGGGTCCCCAAAACATCTTCCTGGTCCCATATCTTCAGACTCCCAGTCAGATACGAAGGAGAGCCCCCTCCCGCCCCTAGTTCTCTCCTTGGAGGTCTATTCACTCCCCTGGCCTCTGTCCTTTCTAGGTGACACCTCCATGCCTCTCCGAGTCTAGGTTTGAAGACACATCCACTTGGAAGGTCCACAGGCACCTCACACCCAACATAAGTGACATCTTCGTGCCCCCACATCTCATCTGACACCTCAGCCTCCCAAATCTACCTTCTGAGCAGCTCTTGAGGCTGTTCACTCCTCTGCAAGGCCAGGCCCTCAGTGCCCCCTCATGGGAGAATCTGCTCCTAACACCCTTCTATCTAACTCACCAACTAGCTAAAGAACAGGTTCTAGTATGCTAATTAGAGCCGGTGCCCACCCTGCTGTAAATTCTTCCCACTGGTTCCCAAGACCACCAGTCTCTCTTGGGGGTGCCCAAACACCCTTGGCACACTGAGCCCCCTCTCACTGCCCCACCTTGCTCTCTCTCCTCAGTATTCCACTTCCCTCTGCTCTGGGTCTAGGCTCACACTACTTCCCCTGTCACATGCTCCTCATTCTTCTCCTTTCCTGGGTGAATTCCATGGAATCGCTTCACCTGGGAAGCCTCCACTTGACTAAGCTAGTTTTTGTTGTCCTCCCAACATTAGCCACTGGCTCACAATTTCCATCACAATACAGCTCTATTATCTTGTAGAGTGAGGATGTTTTCTCCATGATACTGTTTTCATTCCCTCACTCAACTATTTGTTGAGCACCTACTATGTGCCAGGAACTGTTTGGGTGCTGGGAACACAGCAACGAACAAATCAAAGTCCTTGTCTTCATGGAGTCTATGTTCTTGGGGGCTCCTTAGGGCAGCCGTTGACCTGGACCTGGTCAGCATTACCTGGGACACGGCCCCCAAGGCGTTCTTAGCTGAGCGAGCTGCAGCCTGGAGGCCCTGCTGCTCTGGCTCTGGGGTTTCCAGGCGTTTCCAGGTGGGGCCCGCCCCTAGGTTGAGGCTGACTGCTCTCAGGGGCAGCCTCCTTTGGAACTGTCTGCAGAGGGAGCCCAGGGCTCCGCCGGAGGCCTCCAGATGGCCAGCTGCAGGCTGCAGCTCATCGCTCTCCTCCAGCTGCTGGTGGTCCTGGAGAGATCTCCTGCGCATGGACGTGCTCACGCCGGGCCACCGAGAGGCCATCTGTCTGTTCTGTTCACCAGACCCTGGGAAGAGGTCAAAAGGCAGGTCAGCAAGGCATCCTCCATCCTATTCCCAGGCTCCACAGAGACCTAGGTACAAGGGAAGAGATGGGATGGAGGCCCATGGGGTGGGTGGATGGCTCAGGCTGGGAGGGAGCAACCCTGGGTGCGGGAGAATGCTTCCTGAAGGGGAGGGTGTGGTCAGCGAAGCCCGGAAGAGGGCAGAGGCTGAACAAGGCTGGTCAGCATTTCCTGCGGTCCCTTGCTGTGTCTAGAACAGCTGTTTGTTCATCCCAGCCTCAGGCGGGGAGGGAGACAGGGTCGGGAGCGGCCCTCCTTGAGCCTCAGAAAGGGGCCCAGCGCCGGATCAGCGCCTCCCACAACCCGCCCTGACCCAGCGAGCTCCCACCCAGACCCTGGTCGCCTGGCCAGAGCCCCCGATTTCCACCCTGCAACCCCCAGATGCCCACATGCATGCCTGTCCTAACTAGACACCCTCTCACCCCATCGCCTCTGGTCTCTTCTGCACAGAGGTCCCGCCACGCCCCGGCCCACACTCACCCCAAAGCTTCCACGCCTGCGAGATGCGGAGCACAGATGCACTTCGCCCACCCGGGCCGATTTGAAACTCGGCGCGGACCCGCCCCTGCCCGTCCTCGCAGCTGATTGGCCCCGTCCCCGCCTCGCTGTCGCGGCGGGGATCCTATTGGCTCTTTGCTCTCGCGGCCGTGAGTCCGGCTCTCAGATTTGCCGGCTCGTCCCCATTCATGCCCGGGACCCCCGCGGGCTGGGCGCCGCGGGAGGGGGCCCCTTTGAGGGAGATTTGGTTTCAAACTTCCCTCTGCTGCCCCGAGACAAAGCGCTGCGCTTCTGTGTTCCCCGGACTCCCCACCACATCCTGCCCCGAAAACCCGTCCTGGAAAGCGGACAGATGGGAGTGCGCTCCCCTCCGCCGCCGGTTAAGCACCCTGCACCCGGCTCACGGGGACCTCAAAGCCGCACTGGCCACGCCATCCCTGGGGTTCCGAGCTGCCATCTTCATCGGGTCTCCCTCCCACTCCTCACCCCTGTGGCCACTCATGCTGGTGGGCTCCCTGAAGCTCTGTCCTTAGCCTCATCTTCATCCCTGGGTGATCACACCCACTTCTCCGGCCTCAGTTGGTTGGGCGTTTTCCTAGGCACTGAAAGGTTGCTGGTTTGATTCCAGGTCAGAACACATGCCCAGGTTGTGGGCTCGATTCCTGGTAGGTGGCGTGCAGGAGACAGTCCATCAATGTTCTGCTTTCATATCGATGTTTCTCCCTCTCTTCCTCTCCCTTCCTCTCTCTAAAAATCAATTTAAAAAAAGTAAGAAAACCCAAAACTATAATAATAAAAGTGTAACATGCTGATCAGACCAGACGTCCTTTCGGACATCCTTCCAGATGACCTTCCGGATGAAGCCGGGGCTGCAAGGGAAACCCGGGTCCTGGGTGCCTGCTGGTGGCCAGAGGGAAGCCTGGGTCCCAGGTGCTAGAGGGAAGCCTGGATCCTGGGTGCCAGAGGGAAGCCGGTGCTGGCAGCTGGGGAAGGAAGGCCTATTCTTGCACAAATTTCATGCATTGGGCCTCTAGTCTATACGAATAAAAGGTAATATGCTAATTAGACTGGATCGACCAGACAACTTCTGGACGTCTGACTTCCTTCTGGACAAAGCCACAGTGGTGGGGGCCAAGGCAGAGGTGGTTAGGGGCAATCAGGCCGGTGGGAGAGCAAGCAGTTAGGGGGCGATCAGGCTGGCAGGGGAGGGCAGTTGGGAGCGATCAGATCAGCAGGCAGGCGAGCAGTTAGGAGCCAGCAGTCCTGGATTGTGAGAGGGATGTCCAGCAGTCGGACATCCCCCGAGGGGTCCCAGATTGGAGAGGGTGCAGGCCAGGCTGAGGGACACCCCTGTACCCCCTGTGCATGAATTTCGTGCACCAAGCCTCTAGTATATATATAAAAAGCCATGAAGTCAATGAAACAGATGCATCCTTACCTAATGGAGCTCAAATCTAGTGTTTGGGGGTGTGACGGACATTAATGAATCATCAAGTTATCAACAATCAATTAATCAAACACAATTATGACAAAAATATGTCATTTAAAGCTGAGACCTAGAGAATGAGTCAACCAAGCAAAGAATGTGTGTGTTTGAGTGTGTGTGTGTATGTGTGTGTCTGTGTGTGTCTTCTTGCCCAGGGAATATCATGTTCAAGGGGACCAGTATGTAGCTCACACACACACATGCAACTGAAACAAACTTCTCCTGAAACAATACTTGACTATGTGTGCTGTCCTTCGATATTTCACCTATTTTGTTGTTGAGAAGGCTGGTGACAGCTCACCACAGTGATTTTACAATGGTCACTGCTCCCGTTCGCCCGTTCACCTTGCTCCCTGGTTCTTTCCCAGCCTCAGAAGTTCCCCAGACTGCTTATGCCACTCGTATTTGTCATTGTAATCAGGGAATTTAATTCATGTCCTTTATCAATGAAACACAGGGGAGAAAAGCAAGTGGTGTTATTTTTAGGAAAACTGAGCTGAAAGTGTGGGAAAGACTAGCGAGAGTGAAACCCTTTGAACAAGGACCTCAAATGGGGTCCTCTTGCTGCAATTGCCTGTCAGCAGCGGCCGCAATGCCTGGCACTTCATGTTCAGCGATACAACAGCCTATATCTGTCCAGCCCCTAGCATGCGTGTGCCAAGTGCATTTCTTCATTCTGCCTTAATCCTCCCGGCAGCTCTATGCAGTAGATATGCTTTGTATTCCCAATTACAGAGGACAGCACAGGGATTCAGATGGTGCAGTAGCTTGCTCAGGGCGGGACAGAGTCTGAAGCACGGGTGTCTGACTCTGACGTCTGAATTCCTAGCCTTTGGTGCCATGGTCTCATTGAGCCTCAGGAAGGAATGAGTGAAGGCCCTTTCCCCAGGACCATAACTGGCAGGCTAGGTGAAGGAAGAGCAGTTTCCATGGCAATGAGAAAGGGAGGAAGAAACATTTGCTTCTGAATGAGAAGGCTCTCTCCCTCTGCCTTTGGAGCCAGGGGCTGGGTGCGGGGTGGAGGATGGGCTGAGGTGAGCAGGCCCCGGGTGGAGATGGAGGGGTGGGGGTGAGGGGTGCAGGGCTCCCTGCTCCTCCTGGTAAAGAGGAAAACCAATAAGTTGTCCCAGGCTGAGGCTTTCTGGGGTCCAGCCCCAACCCCTGCCCCACCCTGCCCTGGTAGCTTCCTGTCCAACCACAAAGCTTCCCCAGTTTCCTTGTCCTGGGGACTGTCAGTCTGAGGGAAACGGCAGACATTAAACTGTGCAAAATCCCACAGGTGGGAAGTGCAAGGGGCGGCGAGGGGAGGGAAAGGGGCAGGACCCACATCGGAGCTGGGGTCAGAGCAGGCTGCCCTTGGCATATGTAGGCTGCTGTAGCTAAGGAGTTGGGGGACAGCGAGAGGGGATGAGCGGATGCTGGGAGCCGGAGACTGCCAGGACCCAGGGCCAGAGCGGCTGAGTGAGAGGGAGGGCAGGGGCCTGGGCGGTAAGAGCCAGGAGCGCAGGGCTCCTTGGCAGGAAGGGGCTGAGGATTTGCCCGGAGGCAGTGGGGAGCCTTATTGAAGAGGGCAGTGGGGTGATTGGAGTTGCATTTTAATGAAGGCCATTAGGAGGTTAGTTTGGGGGCCACAGGGTGGCTGGGGGGTCTGTCTGGAGGCTGAGGCCGAGCACCTCATTCTTCTCAGCAGTGAAACCGAAGCCACTGGCATCAGTTGTAACACCCCCCGTCCCTCAGGCCGGCCCCCCACGTCCCACCCCTGCCACCCGGGGCCCCAATCTATCAGTCTACCTCCTCTCGGTACCTCTGCAACCCCAGCGTGTGCCCTTTGACCCTTCTACACAGGGAAGCCATTGAAACAGTGGGAGAGGTTGAAGTGTGAGGCATGATTAGAGCCTTTCCTACCCGTGTGGATTATGTCACGAACAGAAACATGCTTAAACCATGAGGCTCAGTATGACGAATACTGAGAAAGCAAACCCTCATGTAACTGTCACCCGGGACATCGCCAGGACCGCACCCCTGCTGCGTGTCCTCCCTCCCTCCCGGGACTGTATGGTGATCACTTTTATTTTCCTTTGTAGTTTTTCATCTAAGAGTTCATCTTACTCTGATGCTCTAGGTTGCTGTGTGGCCAAGAAAGGATGGGACAGAAGAGGAGGATCTCTGCCCCCCACCCGACTCCCTGCCCCCAGAGAGCACCGGAGCTGGGCCCTCAGGAAGCGGGGGTCTGAGCACTAGGTGGGGGGAGCCTTGGAGGGGTCTGACTTGCTGCCTCAGTCTGTGCTCCTGGGCCCAGACCAGTTGGCCCAGGCTGGGCTTCCTCTGTGCCAGCCGCTATGGGAGACTTTCAGGGGTCCTGGGTTTCGGGGTTCCACTCACTGCTCAAGGGAGGCGTCTCAACTTCCAGGAGAGGGAGGCAGGAAAGTCATTTTCCCGTTTCAGTTGGGGAAATAGAGTTAGGGATAGGAGACACCTAAAGCCACAAGGTCAGCCCTTCGCATGCAGCTCTGCCCGGCTCACCCGCACTCCCATCTCTCCCTGTGGCAGGGTCTGTCCCATCTCTAGGAAAGAGGTCAGCCGGGGTCCCCCAGAGAAAGGTTTTGCGGTGCCAGAAAGAATCCTCATCACCCTCAGGACCTTGGAAAGACCAGGTAAAAAATTCGGATCTGCCACAAGGTGGCGCCAGACACCAACTCTTTACATGATTTTTCACTTTAGAGCAGAAAAGGGATCCCTGATACTCCGAATAAGCTCTGTGGATTCCCCCCAAAAAGGAGGGGAGAGCCCCGCTGCCCCCAGCCAGACATTGCAGGAGAGGCTGGAATGGGGCTGGGGACGGCTCCTCAAGTTTATCCAAGCTACCCTGCTTTTCATACCGTTTCAGTGCTCTCCCAAACTAGAAACCTGCCAATCCTCTCCCTCCACAATGTCACGTCCTCCTGTGGGTGGATAGGGTTTGGGGAGAAGAGGAGGGAGAAATAGAAAAGAGGGAGAGCAGGGACCACTCAGTCCACAGGGCCCAGCCTGGGGTTCAAAGAGACTAAGAACCTGAGACCAGGGCCACCGCCAGGGACAGGCAGGGCGAGGGGCTTTGGGTCAGTCTCTCCTTTTCTCCTTCGGTGGCCTCACTACTGCTCGCTCCCTCAACGCTGTCTTCTTTAAGAAGGCTCCAGCCGACTCCCTCTCTTCCTGACAAAACCAAAGCTGATGCAATAATGTCAGGCTCGGGCTCCCATCCCGGAGAGAAGCAGTGGATGGATGGGGCAGGAGGCTGGGTTGCCAGGGAGTGGCCCTGAGGGAGGAGCAGCCCGGAGGCAGCATGGGGCACCTCCCTGCCTCACTCCTCTAATTCGCATCCCTCCCCTCCCCCGCAGGGCAAATCCCCGGTCTTAGCCGGAGCGCCTTCCCTTGGTGAGATTATATCAGCCCGGCCTGGACAGCTCCCGCAGCCATGGATGCCGCTCTGCTCCTGAACGTGGAAGGGATCAAGAAGACCATTCTGCACGGGGGCTTGGGGGAGCTCCCAAACTTCATCACCGGATCTCGAGTGAGTGGGGCCCCCTCCCACTCCTCCCCGGCCACGGCAGCCTCTGCAGCCCGCTGGCCACATGGCACTGCAGACAGGTCTCAGCTTTGCCCAAAATGGCCGGGCAGTCCCTTCCTGGGATTGTGAGCCCCAAGGCATCTGAACGGGTGTCTATTCGCTGGGCATTTTGGTACTTTGCAAATTAAACTACAGCATGGGATGGGGGACGGGCTTTGGGAGTTTTCGGGAGCCCCAGATGTTGAGTGAGAAGGTGAGAAGGAGGGCCTCTCCGGGATCCTGGTGTTTGGCCACAAGTCTCTGGTGGCTCCCCTGGGTGATGGGCTGTGTCTGGGGCCTCAGACCTAGGGCTGATTTAAGGAAGGACATCCTGACCCAACAAAGCTCTCAAGAGTGGGACGAGGGTCATTTATGGGGGAGGGGGTTCCTCATCCCTGGGGGAGTGCAGGTGGGCGGGGGGTGCTCTGGGGTGGTCTGAGGCATCTGCCTGGAGCTGGGGAGCGGACTCTGAGGCCAGCCCTGAGAGTCGGTGACAGGGGTGGCTCCTGCTGGGCCTCGGAAGGTGTGTCTAGACCAGGGCCCACTCTCTTGGGGACCAGGTGACCTTCCATTTCCGCACCATGAAATGCGACGAGGAGCGGACCGTGATCGATGACAGCAAGCAGGCAGGGCAGCCCATGCACCTGATCATCGGGAACATGTTCAAGCTGGAGGTCTGGGAGCTCCTGCTGACCTCCATGCGTGTCCGCGAGGTGGCTGAGTTCTGGTGTGACACCATCGTAAGTAGGCCAGGCCGGCCCAGACCCTGGGCTGATTTCTATGGGGCCCAGCCACGCACTCTGTGTGTTTCAGGGCTAGCGTGTCTCAGGAAGGGGGGGACCTAAAACAACACTCCCTGAAGTGACGGTGTCGCGGCTGGCTGGTGGGAGTGGGTGTTAGGAATAAAGCAGGCAAAGTCCCTGGCCTTCAAGGAACTTGACTTCTGGAGGAGGAACAGACACTAAGCACACACAGGGCGGGGCACCCAGTGCTTTAGGGCCATAGGAAAGGGGCCGCTGACTGCCTTGGGGTTTTAGGGGAACTTCTTCAAGAAGGTGCCACTGAGCTGGGTCTTGAAGGATGAATAGGAGTTCGCCAGGTCTAGAAGTGGGATGAGAGGCAGCACCCGGCCAGGAAGGGTGAAAGGCTTGGCAGGTTTCATTTGGGGGGCCCCTCTCTTTTATGGGGCAGCTCCTCACTTCATCATTCAGTTTTGGAAAGACTAAGCCATCAGTGGGGCAGGCATGTCTATTTGACCCAGACCTTAAGAGGCCTGGTTTCCCCAGCAGTTGCTGCTTGTCAACCCCTGCAGAGCCCTTTGCTTGGACAGTCTCTCCAAGACAGGGGCTTCCCTCCCCTAAATCAGAAGGGCTCTTGGAGCTTCTGCCCTGAAATACATCCCTTCTTGTTCCCCCCTGATCCCCACTCCTTAGGGAGGGCACTGGCCTCTGGGAATTTTTGCTGGTGCCGTCTTATGAGGCCAGAGGCTGCAAACTCAAGTCCCACTGGGAGCCAGGAGCTTGCTGACTGGAGGTCGCCTGCCCCCAGCTCCCACTGGGCAGGCGAAGTGGACAGTCTGAGTTTTTGAGACAAGCGTGTACACTCTCTCAGTGTTAAAACGTTGGCAACGAATCTACAGAAGTCCTCACCAAAGGAGGGGTGAAGCATCCCAGTGTGGGAGCTGAGTGAGGCCTGGGGCGTGACTGCCAGGGTGGATAGAGCCCCTCAGGCAGAAGCAGGCTGTCCCAGAGCCCCAGAGAGGGGCAGCGTGGGGAATCCCTGCTGCCATAGGCACAGCCATGGGCACAGCCATGGGCTGATGAGTCTCCTGGGACTCTGGCTGCCCTGCTGGCTGTGAGTGGGAATGGGGGGGGGGCACAGAGCCGGGACCCTCTCCCTCCTTCCTCCCTCTGAGGTGCTGCCTGAGTGGAGGTGGGATTCTGGAGTTGTGCCCCTTCTCTGGCCTTTATCTTCCTTTCTGAGACTTATGCCACTCCCGGTGACATCCCACAGCCACTGTGCTGACCAGGCCCTGGCAGTGCCCGGGCAGCAGGTGTCCAGGGGGCCAGAGGGACAAGGCCTTTGAGGGCCTGTGAGTCAGGGCCCGGAGCACCACCTCCCTGTAGGAAGCTGATCCTGGCCTCTCCCCCGCGCCCCACGCCATCTGGTCACCTCTCTCACAGAGAAGCCCAGGGCATTCGGGGCTGACCCCAGCTGGCGGGGGCAGGGAAGGGTGACCTTCATCCTCATGCTGGCGACTTCCCAATAGTGTGGAGCTGCCATGCGGAGCCTGACAGGGGCCTTGTCAGGACCCAGCCCGAGCAGCGGGGCTCTCAGAGACCATCCTGTGGGGCTTTCCAGAGCCT